TTAATAACTTAAAATTTCATCATTTTGTTTTGATATAATCATATTGTGAATCAGTGTGAATATGAAAAAAAAATATGTGATAATAGTACATTTTAAATCTTTGTTATGCATTGTTATTTGTTAATGGGATCTCAAATTAAATTAGTGAGATGTAACTAAGGTTAGGCTTGAAATTTAACTTTCAATTAGATGTCAATTAATGGAATGAAATAAATTAACCAATTAAATTGATTAATTGATCAATTTTTTATACTAATTAAGTAATTATTAAAATTTGTCAATTAATAGTTGGATTATAAAGTTGAACTCAAAATTCAGGTACAGTCATTAACTTATTTGTTTAAGTATAAGCCCAGCTGGTTTGACTCGAATATAAAGCTCGTTTTGGTGCGTTTACAAACACAATTATTACTTTTAGTCCTTTGACGATATCATTATACGCATGTTCAATTTTTTCAAAAATGCAAATTCATGTGTGAGGCGAATTGGAATTAGGTAAGTAGACCTGTCATACTTTATAAATAAATATGCATAATTATATTATCAAATGTCATATTTTATTTTCTAAAACATGATATATTAAATAAAAACACAAAAATTTATAGCAAGAGTATGCCAAATGATGTAGGAAGAGTTGAGTGGAAAAAATACGAGATTTCAATATCACACGATGTGTTTTTTTTATTCAATAATTAACTGCTGGTAAACAAGATAGACTCTTTAAATAAGACACAAAAAGAACCCTAAATTAAACATCCAACAAGCCCAAAACTAATAATAATAAGGATAATAAAAATAGTACTCAAACTAGCGGCATAAGTCGGTCATGTATGTCGAAAAATATCAACGCACACTCGTCGGCATCACTTTAGTGTGCAATCAAAATATTAGGAGCTATTCCAAATATACACTTTGATTTCATTTTGATTAATTGGAGAACGTACTTAAAGAAAAAAAAATAATTGGGCGAAATAATGATTTAATTTTGAGTTTGTGAATTAATGTAGATAAATAATGTAATTATTAATTATGATGCGATATAAAAATATAATGCAACTTATTTAATTAAAATCGAATACTATTTTTCTTAGGCCAAAATTAGGGCATGTGATATCATTTGTCTAATCAGGACTCGAACGTGACAAATCAATAGGTACAAACTAAAGCAATTTGGTAGTCAATGGGACAAATGAAACAAACACGTGGAAATTCATGCATCTCACTCGCTTCAAAAATAAAAAAATAAAAAATAAAAATAAAATGTTCAAAAGATTGAGATTTTAATGGATTCAAAAGCACAAGATATTAAACAAGGCAAGATTAAAAAATAAAGTATTGTTGGGGTGTTCAAAAGTTGCATTCAATTTGCATTTACCTAAATAACTTGTGTCACCATTGTAAATGGATCGAGTTGAGCTCTGCCAGTATTAAAATGTTTAAGCTCGATCTTGTTGATAAACAAATTGGGCTCGATCAAAGTTGAACTTTTGACGAGTTAAAAAATTATTGCTTCGAGCTCGAGCTCGTTAATGTATGTTAACAATTTTTTACATAACTCGATTCTCGTTCTCAGGTAAGAGCTAATTAAGTGTATTACTAATCGGGATGACTCTAGATAAGTACGAAGTCCAAATTCGTTATTCTATTGAGCGAGGACTCATGAGAAGTTTGAAAGTTATTCAATCCATAATTTTTTTCATATATCAAATGATCCAAATGTTTACATATTTATAATCATAAAATGACTATACCTTTTTCTCATTTAAATTAAATAAACTTTTTCTCATTTAAATTAAATAAACTACTATACCGTAAATCATACATTATTTTGAGTGCAACGAATTGTTTATTAAACGAGCTCGAGCTAAGCTAAATCTAAAATAGTCCATTGCGCAAGTAGCTCGGGTTTTCTACTCCTAAAGTACTTTACCTTAATTCAGCCCAACTCTCCAACCGGACCAAAGCCCAATCTAAATGGACTGTCTTTTTATGTCAAAGAGACGTGTGCAAAGCCACTTGAATCATTACTTGTTCAGCCCAAAGTCCAACTTATTCACTCATTTGGGCTTAGATCCCTCAGCAACAAACCCAATGACAATGGTTTCACGAATGGGCTTGGTTTTTTCAAAATAGAAACTCAACTAGTACTAATGTCCATGTATAACATGGGTGTTGAGTTGATAAATATATGTGTAAAATTATTTATTTCTAATACCAAACTTAATTTAAGAGTAAAAATAATATAAAAACAACATCACGAACCATAGAGTTTCGCCATGTCAATATCCAAAGCGTGAGAATCTACCGCCTACGTTCAACACATTTTGGAAGAAATAAATTATTTCGTGTGAGTAAAAAAGCACTGCATTGGAAAAATCTTTATTGTATACACACATCTATGGCCCTTTCCTTTTGGAAGATCCCATAAACCAATATTCAAAATTTGAACATATGGCCTCGAACTTTAGAAATATCAACGGCTATCAGC